CGTTCGGGATCTTGAATATGTTGCTTATAATAATTCATTGTAGTCTGTAAAACTACCCTTTTGCCGCCCCCTACCATCTAGCAGGTCAGTTGTTTCTCTCGCTAAATCATTTTCTGCAATTTCTTAGATCATCATTTACTTCATGCCAGGTTTTTGCGCTCACTTCGTACATGTCGCCGGTACTGACACAGCTTTTTTTGCACTGTTTGAACGATATACTGGACTAAGGTAGCTAAGTAAATCATTGATTGTGTTTTTCCTGTTGACACTTAATTTCAGTATCTAGTGAATCTGGCGTTTAGCAATTGGCCGTTTCCACATAAATCCCGGAAGCTTTAATTGCCTTTATGCATAATGAACTTGCAGATAAAAGTTAGAAAAAAACGTTTTTGTTAGCCATTTCTAACTTACGTATTAGTGCGCTGGTAATTGAAGAAGAATAGGCCGCGGTGCATAACATCGTCGCATTGTTGTCTATTAGATCTACAGGAGTGCAGTGTAAACTGGAAGTTATCACCTTTGCACTACTAGTAACAGCTTTATACGTTCATTTGTTGATAGTCGAACTATTATAGAGATTTATTTACTAAACAACAATTGATCAAATATGTCGCAAACGTTTTTTGCGTTAAAAAAGACAATTTTTCGGCAAGTTAGAATTAGTATATCTATCTAGTTGATAAAAGCTACTGCCTAGAATAATGTGCGGCAAATTCAGGATTCGAGCTTTCATATGAGATTTAATGAGAGGGACAATGTATTTTGCCTCGATGGACCTTACGGTTTCCACGAGAGGCATTTTTTTTTAATGATTTTCGATACAAATCAATAATTGGCAGTGTAAGTACAAAATGTATCGAATGTCTGTATTCCGTTGTGTTTGCGAACAAGTGAAGGCTACCTAACTGGCAAGCGATACACACAGTCGCCTTCACGGTTTGCTATAATAGGACAGTACGACTGAAGATAGCGTTTGTTTTTTTGCAAAAATTTAGTACCGAAATGAAGAGTTGATTTCGTTAAGACTCCGCAACTGTCGCACCGAATCAGACATTTCACGTTGATAAAGGTGACGGGAACACCTCGGTGACTGATGGAGAAATCTCAATAGAACCACGGTCGTGGCCACGAACTGGCAGAGTTTTAGCGGGCCACGACGCCACCCGCAGTACGACGCAGTGTACTTGCAGATCTAACTAGATCAATACGAGATTGTTCTCAACTACTCGACCTATCGACAAGCATTTTAAAGCAAGGCTTGCGTCTTCATTTTTACAGGGCACAGTTGAGTCGATCATTAGAGATCCAGAAGCAACCTGAACCCATGTTGGAACACAAGCTACATGGCGACAACTTGTTGTATTATATCATTTGCTTTGATAAAGCTCATTTTCAGTTGAGTCAAATTTTATTTATTCACCTTGGCTGGTCGTCTCATAAATTCAGATCATCAATACGATGTCTCAGTATCAGGAAAGATTATACAGAACCATTTAAAACACTGCGTCATGAGGTGTATACGAGTCTTGCTGAGTTTATAGAACTATTACGAGAGATTTGCCACACAACAATATTAGGTGGTAACAAACGGTGCGATATCTGTCACAACTTCCTCGTATATGGGTCACCTGTATGCATTGTCAGGTTCGCGGGAACCTGATTTGCTGCACAGTTTATGATGGAACTGATGCACGGCAAAACATGGCTGCTTTGCCGGTTCCTCTTTCCATTCGTTATTCCTGATTGCATTCGAGGGAAAGGTCCTCATCAATCTCCGCGAATATTCGCTCACAGTACCTAAAGTTTGTCTTAAAGGCTTCTGTTGCTGGGAGCTCGAAGGGACGACAATGGTATCGAGGTGGGTAGGAGATACGCGAGGTGATTTGGGATCATCACGCGAAACTCCAGTACTCTTTTGAGGAGAAAGATTTTAGCGCAGCTTAATTCTTCGGGATTCTTCAGTTACAACCTTTCCAAGTGACGCGTATCCCATACGTTGCAATCAGAGCTAATTTGAAGTCGAGCAAACTGAGGGCGGTTGCGAGGGGCAAGCGATGACACGCTTTGATCGCCCATGATACCAACACTGTCATCCTGCATCCTTCAACATTGTCATTAGTGAAACTTTTGCAGTTCGGGGAAAAGAGCTACCCGAAATACAAAAATCTGTGTACACAGGCAAGAGGCGATGTACAAGTTGCCAGTGACCGCTGCCCTGCCCCATAGTAAGCTCCGTGTTAATTATGTTTACGGTCACCTTCAAATCTGTAGCTGCACCGTAGAGCCGGGCTAAACCGACTGCACTTAGAACTAGTATATCACTGGGTCGTCTACATACAAAATGGCTTCGACCAATTTCCTCACTTCTTGTTTGATCGCGGAGGCTCTTTGGAAAGGTGAAAAATAGGGGAGGGCTCTAGTTATCCTTTTGAGCCAGGGCAGGGGTTCGGTCACTCCTGTGTCGATGGTTATTCCGTTCTCCTGTAGAATTGCAGCGAAAAAGTTACGCATTTTCGTAAAGCAAACCCGCCTCGACCAGTGTCAGCATAACCTTGCCCCTTGGCGTCGAATCGAAGGCTGCCTTAAAATCAACGAACGAACCCAGCTTAGAGCGAATTGCGCAGCGTAACCAGTACTTTATTGACGTCGACTATCAGGATGCTGGATGCTGCTTCTGTGAAGCGTCTTCTCTGGAACCCATGTTACTTCGCCGAAGTGGCATGTACGCTGTACAAGTAGTTGTCCAGCCTCTTACCAAGCCGGAGAGCACTTCGCAACAAATTTTTTTTTTACTCCTCGCCATGATGATGGTGTTATTCTACTGCTTTTTTTTTTAGAAATCGCTAACAGACCTGCACCTCTTTACTATACTGATGATGTATCAGTACGTAGACATTTATCTAATACTGCCGTGCAGCATAGTCAGAACGACGGCGTACTTGGGATACTCTTTGTAGAAGCTATCTGGAACAGCGGCTTTCTTGTTGCATAGGTTCCCAAGGCCTAGTCATAAGTTCCCGCTTTGTGAAGTTTCGTTGAAGGATATTGCATTGTATCGAGAGTTTCTCTTCCCAAGCTGCAGCGAAAAGGGCATTGCACTTGGTGACGTATTCTTCGAAGCAGTCATCTCTGAGGAATTATTTACAAGGGCTGAAGATCTAATCGAGCAAGCCGTCAAGCTTCCGTTACGCGTTAGACAATTGTATAGTCGACGTTACGCGTCGGCGATCAAGCGAGTTTCCAGCCGTTCAAAGTATTGTTGTCTTTGTGACGTATACGTTTCTTGACAGATTCTTGAAGAACAGGGGCTAAAAGATGAAGCTCGCGCTGTACCGCGGCTATAAGTCTGAGGGCCATCTGGATCTACCCAGAAAGACCGCAAGTATAGTTATTTTATGCTTGCGGTGGACGAAAAGGCTATACTCTACACTGGACAATTTCAATGCTGCACTTCCAAAAGCTTGTATACGTCTGACTATCACGACAGAGCTTGACGTCTAACAATACGCATAACAGCGACTTGGACTATGAGATCCAATGTCATCGGTATACACACAAAAATACTTGCGCCTTCTAACAAAGGATGATTTTTCATCTCAAACTTTACTCTATGTCGAATTACGTTCGCAGCAAATATGTGGATGAGTAAAAGTCCGCCATGTTCTAAAATAGGCGGGCGTTAAGGTATAACTCACTATCCAGCAAGCACAGTCTATAAGCGCGTTCAGAAAGGCCGTAGTGCAGCTCAAGTTAATGCTTATAAAATGATCACTTTTAAATATACCTTTGTTGCTCATTACCAAGATATCAAAGTATCAATTCCCGCTGAACAGGAAGCTCCTTAACAATTACTGTATAACTACAGGACCCTTCGAACTGATGATCTGCTGCTTCCTGACAGTTACCTTTCGTCGAGCGTATTTTTAAACTAACATGCGCTTTCCTGGAAAAGAGTGCCTTCTTTGAATTTATCAAACTCATTTTGAGTGGGCATTTGATTCTTATAGCACCTGCCATACAGATGCTATTTAGTGATTCTTAGCCTCAATATAATTTTTTTTTAACATAAAATGCGGTTTTCTGTCGCCTTACCTAGCCATCACTGCAGCTTGAATCCGAAGTTAGATTCCTGTGGGGCTACGTAAAGGGCAGTCTATATCGAACAGAGCAACAGTATATATTGGAATGACCCGCAGAGGAAAAGGCTGGCAAAGGTCTATTGGAAAATACAAGCAATAAGGAAATGTAGGAACGTACTAACCGATCTAATACAAAAATTTATTGATAGAACTTAATACAGGCACGCACTAGTAATAGGGTATGCCTAAAAGTAAAGAGTAGGGACTGTTGTACTCAAAGAGACACACGGTGTGTACATTTGTGTGATCTATATAATGCTCTACGTTGGTCTATAAAGAATCGCTAAGCAGAGCACTGTAAGCCGGTCAGCTCTACGATCAACTATCTGTGACTTCACCTGCAGAGATAGCGGAGGTTTATGCGTCAACGTTCAATGACTAAAAGGGACTGAACCAGGCAGAAGGGCAATGAAGTGCGTGACTTCTTCTCACAAATCATATAACCGACTCTGCCCTACCCCAGCACACATCACATATCCACCACCTCAACTTTATCCATGGCCTGTTTGGGGCTGTTCTGTTAGGCCGTTTTTCACGTCATGGTACCAGCCAGCCACCTATAAGAGTCGTCGTTTTGAAACGTGGGTTGGAAGCTACCAACTTGTTCATGCAACATCAATCGGAATAGCAAAAATAGTAAGAACTCTTTGACCTCGGTGTACACCAAGTATTTCTCCTCGACTTCGGCCTAGAATCGTTTTGCCTATGAAGTAATCGAAGGATCTGTAAATGTACACTAGTCAGGCAAGTTTCCATGAAGCTGCAAAAAGATCAGCAAATTAAGTTTAGCAAAAATTTGTGATTCCTAAAAGATAACGATGTTGAATTTCTTTACAAAACTTGTACCCTAACTAATCTGAATCGGATTGTACCTTATAATCAAAGTTGATATATATATATATATATATATGTATATATATACAACCGAATTCTGCAGAAATAGTATATGTGTGAGCTCATATATGGACTAATTCATTCGTGTTTCTTCTCATTCAGTGTTCAATGGTTGCCTCTTTGGCGTTGTGTACGTTGTTGATTACTCACGCGAGCTTAGATGCTTGAAGTGATTACCTGAAGAGGATGCTCAAGGACTATTAGTAGACCATCTGTCTTCGTTTACATAAACGTTAAGTACCTTCATAGGTAAAAGCCACGGAGTGAACGCGTTGCATGCATGCCTATTTGAACTAGTGCACAAACGCTCGATTCCATTTGCGGAAAATTTTGACTTTCGTTTTACATTGTGTTTATGGGTTCGTGCATTTGTTATGCTGGGCTAATATCCCTTAAAAATCAATTCTATTTAAAACAAATATGTGGGTCATCGGTAAGTCAAAAAAAAAAAAGTGAATATAGTGGAACAAACTATAGTGAAAAACAAACTAACAAAGCAATATGTGTAGTGAACATTCTTATCCCTAATGGGAAAGCCACTGTTTTTCCATTTGATATATTATGCGCACATAGAGTGCCATTGAAAGGTGTTATTAGCTAACACGATAGTTCCGACAAGCCGTTGGAAGCCTAATGACATCTATATCTACTATAGGGCGTATGTTAGACTTTCCCTCAAGTATCGTTTCGTACCTCTTCTGTAAGCGATAATGAGGAGCTATAGTTGCCGTCTTCGGTGGCTGAGGCCATGTGCCGCAATGGCAAACACACGAGATTTTCGAGTTGTGTCAGAGAGGACGTCATACCGGGTACCGCTGAGAGGTCAAGTCCATATAAGAGAGTATGTCGATCGATGGCGCTGCAGCACGGACTACGGCCGCGGTACGTTAATGCTTCAAAACGTCACTAGTATTCTGCAGGTATCCGTATCTTGTGCTCTCGTGGTCGAAACAGAACACAGATGCATACGATTGGCGCCTGCTTCACACATATACGTATGAAATAAACCAAAAGGATAGGTTTTTCCCAACGTGTGCTTTAGTACTTGTCGCTTCACAGATTCTGATTGTATCGCGTACTCTGTTAGATAGTTGCTCATACGTTAGTCTACTATTAGCACAATGAACTCAGAGAAAAAAAAAAAACATAGAGGTTAGCTAAATATTTATCGATCTACTTAGAGTATTGGAACACCGTGTTTTTTTTTTGTAAGAGGCAACATCGTGGCATAAACATTAATATTTTAGATTAACAACTTCGGCTGTCTAAACCTGTATGACACAAGGATATACCTCCACGTATTAGCTGGCTTATCTGAAATAAAAGACATTTATCTTTGAAACCGCTTTCCTGAGAAAGGACGCGGTTTAAAAGTGAACAGATATAGGTTTTTATATAGCAAAACGAAAGATCTATAAAAGAAAAAGGACAGAAGCGATCGTGAAGGACACTGCCAATAATACTTTGGTTCGATGAACACGGATCTTTTTGATTATGGTCGTGCAAATATTCATTCTCGAGGATCTCAAACACACGCCGTGTGCTACGGCGGTCGGACAAATGTTCTCTGAAGCAACTCGAGTCCGAAGCCAATCGTTCATTTATTCTCTCAAGAACGAACCGCAAACCTGTCTCCAATTCTTTCTGACAAGGAAATATTCCTCATAGATGGAAAAACCAATCGCACCTATGATCACTGGCTTGCCCACGATTTAGTTCCAGCTAGTGTTCACGTCCTGAACGTGGCGTCTACTGACAAAGATTTTATGTTGTCACATTTTTCAGTAACAAGAAGAACAACAGACATTTATTTTACTAGTGAAAAAATCATGTGGAGCTACATATGGATGGGAAGCTGCAGGAAAATGTCTTTTCCACTCACACAACATGGATGGCACAATGTTGCTAACTGCCGCCATTAAAAAGGTCTTCCGTAACATAGAGAAGCACATTGTAAAATAGGTTTGTGGGTGGTTTAGATCTCAAATTGAAACCGCAATTGGACTGAGTGAAAGTTACATCGAGTAATTACGTCTATAAAAATACCGATTGGTACTTGCAAGAAATGTATCGAATTATCTGCTCCTAGTTACAGAGAGGCTTTAGATGCGAGGAAGCTTTTAACGCTAGTAGCGATGAGCGACGTTCGGCTCCGGGATGGTCAAACAAGGATTCTGTCCGCGTACTTCTCCGTCGGAGGGTGTTCTCCGTTTCCCGAAACTCCTTTACCTCGCAACATCCCCGCAAGCCCCACGTCATCCCAATGCAGTGCTCTGCTCTCTGTAGATCGGTAAGTTGTACTTTTATAAGGCTTAGCTTGACGGAATGATGCGGTGAAATGGGTAACGATCGGGTACGAGAAATACCCTAAAACTTTGTCTTGATTTCGGGATGGACGATTGACCATTCTCTCTATGGTAAGATTCGACGGTCATAAGGCTCTATACTTCACATGAGAACATGCGTGTAGGTGTGTGAGTGGTATATTTAAATACGCAAGCTCTGTGTTAGGCCAGTAAGGATATATCCAGAGGTATTGGTCTGCTAGAGACTCGGCAGCACTTTATTGCGTAGCCATATCAATTCAATTGTTCTCTCGAGAGGCAACTCAACATCACCACATCTTGTGACCAAACACGCCGACAATAGAAGCGGCCAACCAACTAACAAGACGCCGCGGTACGGCCCGTCGCTACATATGGCCCAAAGCAGACGGAGTTAGTCATCGTTGTGTTTAAGCACGAAAAAGGCCATGAGATCGCTTGGGTGCGCTCATTCAGTAAGCAGGCGTCTTTCCTTCCAAACAAGCGTCCACCTTGGTTCACTTATTTTGGGAGCAGTCGTACTCCCGAATCATCGCATCATGGCAGCCATCCCTTTGAGTTGTTATACCGTACGAGGACAAAGAATACAACATAGTGGTGCAGCGGCGAACAGGCTTGTTTCAAAGGTTTACGATCGACTTCTAAAGTGATGGTAGTGGTGCGCATGGTAGCGGCTACTGCGATAAAGACGAGGGCGGCGAAGAATATCTTTAATACAAGACGTTTTGTGATCTTCGTTTGGATGTCAGCTACATTGACCACACAAAGTTCAGCATCAGAATATTACTAGTGAGTGTTGAAACGGTAAGCGAGGTCTTGTGAGATGCTGAAGTTACTCACAATGGCGAGTGCCGACACATATGTAGAATGACTACACAAATGGTAAAATCCTCTAAAGCTGGCGGCGTGATACGTTATATATGTAAACGTGAATCTAAAAAGGAAGAGCGGAAAAGCAGGAATAATGAGATATCATTATAATCGCACATTGATTTTGTTGATGAAGTAGAAATCGCGGAGCAAATACGGTCCCAACCGAATTGCTAACCTGGGACTGTATCAGTACATTCTCTATAATAATGTTAAAGTTTGTTGTTAACGGGAACTACAGAGTCCGCTTTAGTTTCACTCCCGGCCTAAAATGCACTACGAAGGTAATCTGTATATTCACATCTGATCAGTACATAAGAAGACATATCTGCACTATATTCTGGAACCTGAAGCTCAACCTAAAAACAAAATGTCTCATGCTTACTGATCCTCATGGTATTAACTAAATAGTAATTTTTGATCATCCTTTATAATATCGACTGCCAGTCAAGGCTATAGCGGCTGACGGTATCAGCGAGCGCCTAACATCGTAAGATAAATTTTACAGATCCAGATATCTAACTATTACTGTACAATAAAATGTTCCGCTCTCTGCAAAATACGACAAGATTTAATTTATTTGGCAGATATTTTTAACGGGATGTAGAGTCGAGCTCAGATACCGTTCACATACGAAGGAATTACATAGTTCCGCTTTCATGTTGTTTTATACCATTGGATGCTGACAGAAGATTTACCATTACCATTTTGATTAGCTAATTTATTATTTGTCTAGTTATCTTTAGTCTATTCTTTGATATATTGTGAAGGCAAGTATATCGACTAGCATGCACGGTATCGGCGAACTTACTACTCGAACGGGATTCGCGCACCGTTGTTATGACCGTAAGAATCGAGAGGAAAGCGACCGAAGATCAAACAGCGAACGAACGCACGCCAATGAAAACGCTAGCGCTTTTACATAAGAGGTACGACGACGGTCTGCGGTCTTTTATTTGCCGGATATTCCCGTTCCGTTTCCTCTTTTCATACGCTTCCCTTGCTCTTGATGGTCTTTGTTTGCACCGCAATAAATGAGCTCTCGCGCGCTGTTAAAAAAGAAGATGGCGACAAAGTACTAAAGCGGTGAGGTTCGCTGTTGTTCTTGGCAATCTATTCATTGAAGGGAAATCCACCGGAACTGAGTGATTGTATAAATTATTAAACACCCTCGCTGATTTTCCAGAATGCCCGAAGGTAGACTATGCCAGAAGGAAGTGGCAAACACTTAAGAGAAGAGCAATGCTTACTATATTATTGTACAATGCAACCTCATTTTGCTTGTGCGCTTTGGTAAATCTGAGACATGCGCAGGAGCTGTCTAAATGAAGCTGAGAGAAAACTGAAAAAGTTAGAAAGGAACATTCCCCTTTTAGGATCATTCGACGATAGATCTAACGTTTCAGACATTACGCATTACTGTGCATGGACACGAGACGTCACTTCGGATTCGACCAGCTGATCAGTAACACCACTATTCTTTTTGGGTAAACTCAAAAGTTGCGCGAATCACCAGTTTATTAGCTGAACGTAGATCGGTTTCATCAGAATATCATTGTGTATAGGCGGAATATTAAACAACAGCCCGTTCATATTTATAGCACTCGATTGGGATATGATCAACTACAGTGAGCAAAAACAAAAGTTGCGATACTAAAAACACTCAGACACTATTGATGCTGCTACTACTGCTGCCATTGGCACTCCAGTTGTCGAACGACAGCAGCGGATTGTAAGGAAAACAAGATAGACACACACAGAATGTTAGCGGAATATATTACCATAACCTATAATATATGACGCCAAATCCTGGCAAGGCCGTTCTTCCCACAGCACCTTCTGAATCGCTTATATAAACATTCCATACATTACGTCACCCGGCCATTTAAACCCTTCATGATAAATGGGCGATTCTTTGCAGTCATCTTAAGATACGTCTAAACCGGAAGGGCACAAAAAACAAGACATTCTTAGCATTTTGCTTAAAAGACAGACACATATATGATAAACAGCCTTTCTCGCAGGACTCGGATTAAATGGCGATTTTGTGGACTCCTGGTAAGCCTGTAATAACTTAGTGACGTGGTAACTTAACCGCGTTAACACAACACATTGTTATTAAGCACGAACAAGCTTTAATATGGTATGTAATCAATGTTAAAAAACTTTATTCTCTTGATAGTACTATGCATTACCTTTCGTGACTTTATCACATTAGTTAGCATTATTATTACGGAATGATTAGTAAGTTAGCTAGGAAACTGTTCAATGAATATATATCATTACTCTGTGAAAAATAATTTTCTAGACTGCCATAAAATTGATTGAAAAAAAAAAAGCCTTAAATGTGTGCACGCTTTTTTTTGACAACTGTACTTACAACCGTGTTTTACCGATTCTGAAGAGCAGTTGTTTACAAGAAAACGGAAACCTTTTAATAGTCTATCGCTGATTTAGAGAGAACAAACAACATATGATAGACTTCTTCAATTACCCTTGATCCCGAAAATGACAAGAGATTAACGTCGGATATTTGTTGCATTTGTTGAAGTCCGCTTTGAAATCTAAGCTCCTCTGTAGCACATCAATACCGGCAATGAAGCGATAAAATATTCGAGAATTCTAGGTTTCCATTTAGGTCTGCTATCCCGCGTTCCTCTCCCTTAATGGCATACAGACATAGACCATTAAGCTGACGGCATAAATCCGTAGGGAATGAAACTGCTAGTTGTTGAGCGATACGGAAACGAGCGACGACGATATAAAAAAGAAGAAAAACGTAGTAAGTGTTGAAATTTCGGACGATAGCCTCGACCATATCGCAGAAGTGAGTGTCCGTCATGAGACTAGAACGCGCTTTTAAACTATCTGATTTATCTTTATACCAAGCCGCGTTTCTGCACAACTTACGCGTTTGCGTCGCTCTTGACGCATGGGACACTAATACTTATTTTAGGTATATTCAGTAGAAACACAAAGGATGAGGAATCTTTGTTACGTCAGTGATACTAACATGTGCTAATCACAACGACTGTAATAAGTGTATTCCCTGCGATTCGATATCATTAGACAAATACTCTGAAGTACGTCGTGGGTTCCAACACGTAGCTAATCAGTGTGTCATAACAGGGCAAAAAACACCGATGTATAGCATACGTAACTGTGTTTACATATAAGGATAGAAAAGACTTGTTATTCCCAAACAACTTATTTGCAGGCCTAATAGGCCCTATTACAGGCTGGCTATTAGTCATTTCTACCTCAATGTGGCGTAATATAAACTTAACAAGAATAGAGGGCTTGGTGAGACAAAAAAAACTGGTGCACTTCCGACGTTCACAACGGACCATCAACAGGCCACTTGGAAATGTATGTGGTGTATTCCACGCGCAGTTCGCGGAACTTGAATAAAAAAAAACCGCCTAGAGCATACTCTCACCATAAGAGAATCATAACGTAATCTCTGCCGTTAGCCAAAGAGAACAAGGCGAAAGAATGACGTCGTCCTGTAGTGGAATCGAGTTCGATGGTAGTGTTCGCAATGGACAAAAGGGACGTCTGCTACTTGCCGTATTGTTGAAACAATGAATGCAGCTCGCTATTTCGAGCTCCTCAAAAGATCTGTTCACCATCCGCAAAGTGCACTATGACAACACCTGTTCGCATTGCCGTGCCTCAATTATTTGCTTGATTGGACAAAGGAATACCTGACGTTGTTTTCAACTTGTTTAATCTCCCGATCTAAAGCCGTATAATTACGGGGCATTCCATGCCCTAAAAAGGGCATTTGCTAAGCACGCATACCCCATTACTGGATTGCTTTGAGAAACCACAGACAAAGAATTTACGAATGGAGACGGGAACGGTAAGTGCGTGACTATCCAGAAGATGCCAAAGCACTGGGACAAGAGTATCAAAGATACGGAAAAGTAAAATTACTATCCTAACCAATTAAGTAACAACTTGTAATATCCAGTATATACATATCTAGAATGCCTACCTTCTGCATACATTGATACATTGCAGATCATGATAAATTATAGATTCGGTAAACATTTAGTTTGATGTTGGGAGCACCGTTGCTCAATTGTGGCTTTTAAATCATCGAGTCCCGTCCGTTCTCTGATATAGACTCTATTTGTAGAATGTTCCCTCGAAGAAAAACGTAGTGCCGTAGGACATGGGCTATGGGTACGGTATTCTACATGAACTGTTCGTCCAACCCATCTGTTTGGAGGATTCCGATCAAGATATGCTTCTACATGACAAGGATGGTTCCCACTCTTCATCGAACGCTTGCCAAATGTCTGAAAAAATAAATATTTAGCAAAAACGTACTCACTATACCGTCATAAAAAGCTATGTAGAACTCCTTACTACACTGTGACTTGTAATAAATGTACACGGTGTTCCTTCGTAAAATGCACATCTACAGTTGCCAAGTGAGTGGAATTATGTCGATTAACTGTGGCAGTTAATTTAAATATAGTTTCACCGCTATCCTACCTGAACTCGCAAACTATTCTACCTGAAAGGTGGCCATCTTGTTTACATTTTTCGACTACCGTTCGCAAAATGGTTTCCTTCGATTTAAATCATTGCCGGTATTGTTGAAATGTAACTTTTTGATTTATGACGTCTTCAAATGCGATTTGTACCGTGCCAAGTCCCTGATTGTCCCATGGAACTGTAGGATGTTTTTCAATAGCTTTCCAGTGTTTTTTTTCTTGGCTAGTAAGGCTCGTTGGTGTTCTTGGTCCTTCGGGTCATTGTTTACAAACCTTTCTTTCATCCGATTAATGTCAGGTGGCGATAGAGGATTTTCCTGAAATTCTCCATTTTTGCACTTCATACTACCAGTAGCATTTTTAAGCAATCTTTCTTGGTCAGAAGTCAATTTTGTCAATTTTTGTCAAGTCTAATTATACCCTGAAGCAGCCAACTATACCCTGAAAAGAAAGAAGAATCATGAAGTTATGACCTCTTAAAAACTGTATACACATACGCTTATACATACATGGAGGACACCGTGTGTCAGTGTGTTCAGCTACAGACGCTTATGGATGCTTAAACATTTTTGAAAGACGCAAGAAGCTCAAAATGAGCGTCTACGGCGGATTCGCTTCAATGGTACGATAAGTTTTAATCTCTGCTAAATATTAGAACATTCAATTTCTTTTTTCTTTAAATGGCGGTGCAGGTAAATGATGAAGCCTCTTGGGTTAAGTAAAAATGCTGAATTTTTCATCAAACAGCAGCGTCACATTGCCAAGGAGCAAACAGTAACCAAAGCTATTCTCGTTCTATATTCAGCAAATTAATCGTAGCGTGCGTCTCCAATAGATATAAATCGTGTAGCTAATTTTTTCCCTTTGTCGTAACGAGTAGGTGTCTTGCATACTCACGATACTTTTGTTTAGCAGTAATTGTTCTGTGGCGCCGCTGTTACGTTCGATACTCATTCATTGCTCATTTAACTGTCGACGGTCCCAAATGACGAAAGCACGACCCTAATCTCACTCAATCAAGGACGCGTTTCATCTTTTCCAATGGAAATTGTCGATGGGAGCGTAAAGCTCGTTCGTTGTAACGTCGTGCAGTTTCAAGCAGCTCAGTGTGTTTGTACTCCGCACGAAAAGACACCCTCATAGCTGTTTGTTTATATCTAATTTTGATGAAAAGGCTTCGACTTAGAACGTCGAACTTAGTGGGCTGTAAACGGTTATTGGAACGTGTCTGTTTTCGAAAGTTCTAAGTGTCCTGCTCTTTTAATTGCAGATGTTGAAGCGGGTCCTTAGAGTTGATAAGTACTCAGCTCAGATAAACTTCATCTAAACACAAAAACCCCCAAATCGCATCAGTTGGAAGAAATTTGAATAAATCAAGACCACTTGACTGATACATAGCTCGCATCTGACAACAAAAAGAGGAACAGCGTCGACATCCAGTTACTGCAGGTAATGGTTTATAGATCTTAATAACTTTGAGCGGGATACTTCCTGGTTTCCGATGCAGCGGATATATTCGCTGAGTCATGAATATGTGTCGATTACTCGAGGTATTCAATGCATCATCTCTGCGCTCAGTTGGTTGAGCTATCAGCGTCCTGTGGTTATTTCTGAGAGGATATCTGGGATGCTAGCAGGAAGGGAGAGTCATATATAGCTTGGTTGGTGATGAATACATACACTGATTTTGCCTCAGATACGTAGTTGTAAATTCGATACTCTTTTCGATGCGCGAAAGGACCCTAATAGTTTAGAGATTTAAATGCTGAGAAAGTATCTTGCCCAGACCCCAATGCGTACGTAACTATCGACCTAAAAAACCGATCTACAAAGATACAGAACTATGTAGCAGCCTAATTCGACCAATTTATACAGCATAGAGCTTAGAAATCCAAGAAAATAGTGTAATCGTTGTCCAGTTGTCAAGCCATCTTGCGTATGAGCCTAATTAAGCAAGTGTTTCAAGGCTGATTGAGATGCTTGCCATGTTAATTTTATGTATATAATATGTAAAAGTTTTCTTAGAAAACACATTGTATTTTAGGGATGTTTATCGAAGGGAGGAACGCCTGATTGTTAATTAGTTTATTTCACTGCCCGTGTCAAAAACCATTTGAGAATCTGCCTTTGAGAGTAAGCGTTAACGTAAAAAATACATTTAATAAATGGGCCTAGGGCTAAGCTTTGTGAAAGCTCATGTGTTGTTAAAAATTGCCCTTCGAGACCGCACTAACAACACGTACAGTTTAGAAGCAGTTGGCCAAATAAGACCTTAGCCTATCGTGAACAATGGAGGAAAAGTTATAGAAAAAAAGTTGTTTCTAGAATGACATCGTACGGGATGTTGTTGAATGTACGTATTATATCAATTAAAACTACAGGAAAGATATTTTCTACCACCAGAGTGGGCAATGTAATTATGGATATCACAAAGGGTCAGATCACAGGAACGAGAGTGAAAAAAAGACCATATTACGAATCTGAGCGAAAAGTCACTTTGAGAAGCTGACCTTTGAGCAGACGTTAGATCCAGTTTTTCAAAACTGGACTTTTGCACAGAAATTGGTCATAGTTACGGGTATATAGCTTACAAAACTGTCAAGGCTGTGTTTATCTTTAAAAAAAGAATAACCTTGGGAACCGTAAATGATGCTAGAGAAACGGGAGGCGATTATACGCAATGACTGACAGAAGACTTCAGTTGAAACAGCAATGAGTAACCTAATAAGGTCAGCTTTAAGCGATATGTCAGGCAACGAAACTGGTCCTTCAGCTATAGGTAAGAAATTAACATAACGGCAAAGGGGACGTTCTGGCTGGAGCTAATCGAACCCCGTAGTACTTGGTAGACAAGTCAATCTCACTTGAGACTGCAGAATCTGTTCGCCACGGCGATTTCTGTGATACGCTTTTTGAGATCTTTAATAAATTTCTTCTTTCATTTAGAGCGACAGAACTCCACCAAAAAAAGTACCAGGAGTGGCTGTACCGCAAACATTATATAGGATATAGTTTAGTAGTTCACCGCAGAATTTACCTCTGTAAACTCATATAAAGCTGCCGAAATAACATCGGTTAAAATACTACGGCTATACAGTTATATGTAAATAATACGGTTGTACTTCTTTCTTTTTGGACTTCTCGAATTGGTGCCAACGGTTGATTGAGAGGAAATTACGACCTGCAAGAACGGGGTAGTGGTCAAAAAAGCCATGACAAAGATTGTGTGATGGCAAAGGTAAGCCGTACTACAGGCGCACTGAGGGGCAAACTATATACATGTAAAAGTCTTTCTGACATCAACTACAGGTAGTCAACCTTTCAATTTATCTGTCACTGGTGAATTTATACTCAACTCACCGAGGATAGTCACTGGTGTATCTTGTAGGCCGACTATATCCCCAAGCATTCCAGTGAATTTACAACAGTTCTAGTGATTGTTGGGGTGAATTTCAGCCACAATTTACTCAGTAGATTGTCGCCTCAAGCAGCACCTGTTCGCTTTTATTAGACAACGGAACGTCCTTTACAGGATTCGTAGTCGTATAGATCTACATTGCCATCATTGTGTATAGAGAGAACGGTATCGACACTTGTAAACAATGCCGGAATATCAGAATTAAAGAAAAAATTCTGAAATGTACTCGGCATCAATCATGCCTCCTGCCGGTTATTATCCTCGTTGACCTTTATCAAATTTCAGGGATATTAGTGACGGTGGTATTTGCAAACAGATTGGCAGGTTGTCTACATTACACGTCTGTTTGATAACATGACGGCAAAACTCGTGTTTCATTGCAGATAAAGCGCGTTCCCCTAGAGGGTTGACCTAACCGCTTATATCAATGGCAGACATACTAATTTCTTTGTAAAAACTGTTTTTTTCCTGTAGTTTAATGAGCTTATCACGCACATGAATACCCTACGTATACTCAGGTGGTCGAGTTCAGTCGGATCGACGTGCGAGAATTATGATAAGACAGCAAGTCTGAGGTGCAAACCGAATACATATATGGCATAACAAAGAACAAGTCGCGTCATGAAATATGTAGTCAAACTCAAAGTAATTAAAAAAGAAACATGGCCCTCGAGAGCAAAATTATCCGGTTCCGTCGCAAGCACACTCTTACGAACACTCGGTTACAGCTGAAGAATGCTTGTATGTGAAGACACGTATACTATACCATAAGCAGCACTAAAAGTAAATACACTCTTCGCATGTCTATGAGATCTTCCGGGTCAGTAGTACTGTTATACAAAATGTTCTCTATGAGTTTTTCTCTTCTAAAATACTGCGAATGCAGCTTGAGGTAGAAGAAAACCGGCTTTAATAACCGGCTACCAGCAAACATAGCCTCTATCAAAGGCAATGCACGTCAAGGCCTTGTAATGCACTTTTCCTCGTACGTTCTTCCTGAATTTTTACAGAACTTTCTAAACTGTAACACCTTCTAGTGGCCCGGACCATATTGAAACCAGTTTGCGAACATTCCAATAAGGGTAGCTTTAGTTCAGTGATTCTATTCTCAGCTAGACAATAGTGAATCAAAGCCTTCAACATGGTGGATAGCTTGGCATTGGATCATTGGCTTTAACAGCGAATTCTAGCCCGACTAATCGGCCCAATATGATCATGTTATATTGTCGTTTCTGTTCGAACACTTAAATCTCTCGTGCACTTTCATTACATCAAAATTGCGCATCGGTGACTACTACTCCCTAATGGATATACTGGGTTCAAGTCAGTCAAATCGCTTGTCTTATATGGCTAAATTATCTGGTCTGCTTCTTACGCTAAAATATCTAGAACGCTATAGTACGAAAGCTACGTTTCGGCTTCCGTGCATTCTTCCTAGTTTGCTCTGCCTTTTCTAACGATTGATGATGTTGAAGGTCGAGTTTTAATTTCGGCCACGATTAATCATCAGAGGAGAGTCGAAAAGTAGGAACCTAACGACGGCTAGAGCTGGCTCACGCTGCTGCCAAGACGGTGTCGTCTGTCGCGCTCCATCGTAAGTGATTGTTCCCACTTGGCCAAAGCTGACGGCCAGCCCACGAGGAAATGAAATGTCGTATCCTTGCAAGGCCTAGGAATACACGCTGCAGACTGACTAAAGTTCAAAGATCGCGGGTGGTAGTAAGCAAGACTTTGATCAACACTAATAGCAGTAGTTATTTTCAAGTGACTTGAAAATAGAAAACAAACGAATTCTTGTATAAGTTTCGTGGGCTACTCTGACGAGGTTAAAACTAGCTCGACCATAAGGACCCAACTATTTCTCACGATTGGTACCACTAAGAGACAAAATAAATAGCGAGTTGATGTGCCATCATCATCATCATCATGTGTCATGGAACACATCGTACTGTGTTCCATGACACAGGGATTCTTGTGTTGAACACAGGGCCTATACGAATATCAGCCAAGATTCGGTCTCAGCGTGCGCCAGTAACAAATGGTTTTATTATTACGCCTTGAAGACGGCTGAAACAAACAGGGTCTGTTTTGAGAAGTACAAGAGTATTTAGACGTACGTTCTGATAAATTAAAAGCATGTCTTCACTAAAATCAACGTTTCAATAAAAGCATGAAATCATACATTAAACGATTCTTTCTTCAAGTGACATTTGCCTAGATGCTTTCTCCATGTAGCCTGCCAAATTGCTAGCGACAATACCCATGAAAGTACTGCGTGCAATTCATTTAAGATCTATGCCGAGACGAAACCTACCCGCACTTCTTACCTATTTTGATCTCAGTCGTCCTGAAAACAGGTTATTGCTAGCTGTAGACTAGAAGTTGACCGCTAATTAATGATAGGTTCGGTATTAGTAAAACCACTGTAATGACCAGTGCGTTTCGATTCGAGCCCAGTTGTGCCACATACTTTTGTGACCGAAACGCGAAGGTGGATTCCTATGGCTAACACGTATCGACTGAACGCAGAGAGCCAGCCCATCGAATGATTCCAATCTTCGTGTGTTCGAAAAAATGCGAGTTTACACGGACTTAATGGCCACCCAGACGGAATGCCACCGACTCGTAGAACAACTAGCCCTGGGCCCTTAATTTTAATTTTCCTAGCATGCCCTCGAAACAGCCTGACTGACGCGTTTGGTGGTCCATTACCGCTTAACCGCCCAGAAGTGATTATTTCAACACCTTTCACTAGCTCTTCAAAATGGCGATGCGCTCTCCATATCAGATGCAGTGGCAGTCTTTTGTCGCAACAAATTGAAATCAAGTTCCTTAGAGCCTGCAACATGATAATTCGACAAGCTGAGTGTGCTAGTTACGAAGCTCAAAAACATTTGAATAATGCTACTGCTCTGGTGCGTGGTTCACTGTTAATTACCTAACTAGCTTTGTAATTTACATCAGGCAGAAAATCGGTATGTTGCTAGCGGTCAGGTTGTTCAAGCTGACGTTATAGGCATTGCGTAATAAAACCACCTCACAAATAGGCTTACTATTACTCTTTACGTAGATGCGACTACTTAGGCCAATATGACACACAGTGAACAACATGAAAAGGAGCTTAAAACCAACTGAGCTATATTTGTCTAAGACAATCGGTTCTATCTCATCGGAACCAACTTCAAATTTCGATTTATAGTAAAGGTCGTGTTAACTGCTCAGTTCCTTGAATCAGTATAGGAAGTATCACAAGTGCTCACCTCCCTTTAAGCCTGCGCAAGCTTTCCTCTGCTAAGAAGCGGTTCTATGGTTTAATTCTCGTCATTGCGTTTTTCAGGCACATATTCATAGCGGTTCTGTCTGCTTGCTCGGTGCCGATACAAGCTATCGAATCCATACAACGTGATCAGCAACGCCAGGGTCGCAACGTGCGAAGTCCTGCGATATCGGCGGCTCTGCGTTAGGTTATGCACTGCTCGTCTGCAATCGTTCACAGCCTTTGGAAGCTTCGAACGTCCATTAAAAGTCGCATTTGAATAGCGTGGAACAGCTACTCGATAGCAAATTGGCGGCCGAAGCGTGAGACAAGCGGACGTCGTCGACTCTACGTGTCCTGTTCAACACGAATGAATTAGACCCACTGTCCTGCAATCGGTGTTCTATTATTTGTCAATGTCCGATATGTAATTATTGGGTGTGCTTATGCGTCCAGTCTGAAGTGCCCGACTAAAAAATACTCTGATTAATCAGCTGTCATCAATACCGTTGTTGCTATTGTCGAGATGCTAATAGCAACTCACAGGTATTGGTCATGAAGTGTGTTTCACAGTCCCCTGCCACGTGGTGAACGATGTGAAGGTTCGTTACATGCTACCATGACCGTTTACATGTACTTTTACTGTCGCCGTGATAGGGTATAGTCAATATTCATGTTATATAATACTACTGCAGTTGGCGTCGCAGCGCTTACAAATGTTCGTAGGAAAAAAACAAATTTAGCTGGAAGATACATTTGGCTATTGAAGATGCTGTGAATTTTCAGTTTGCTCGTGATCGTTGACGCAAGATATCGCAGCGTAGAAATTACGATAGGCAGATGCTGTGTTTGGAAAATAACGTTTCGGCTCCATTCTTCATCGTTATCTATTTAAGCCAAATCAATTATTTCGTTAGAAAAGCTTTTACCTCGTACCAGATGGTAGTTTTCGATCACAGGAAATTATAATAATAGAGTTGTTTAAACGAATATGAACCTGTCAGGTTAACCAGCTGTCTATAGTTAGCTCCTCTCTTTTTTTCATCTTATATCGCTTTAGGCATCATTACATGTCGTGCATTAATTACGATCAAGCGCTATAGATGCCATGGCCAGGGGCAAAATCGACTGAAACGCGTTCTCAAAGGGCATGCTATAAATTGACCTGCCATAGTATCATTTCTCAAGCCGACCGCCTCTCGAAGCGTCTATTATACCGACGTGTACACAGATTTACCTACGATAGCATTTACAACGGCTAGCGGCTTACATCATAAAACGGTGTAGCAGGTTTCTTAATTTCCCTAATAAATTCCATTTGGAGAGGCATACAATTGTTCCTGAAGGTCATATGCTGTAATTGAACGCTATTAATTGGATCTGTTAAACTCAGTGAATACAGTTGGCAACGGAAGAAGGTAGAACCGTGCGATTTTAAGTGTACGTTTTAAGTCAGCTATGTTCGGATTTCCGCTATCTGAATGTTATTGTCTTTAGTATTTGGCCTCTTCTTCGACCTGGACTAGCTGATAGATTCCGGCTCTAATGTTCTTTCGGTCCTACTACGAAAGTCATGATGAGCCCGCTTGGCCCCGTAGCCACGTAATCTCCGTACGTCTTTCTGACACTGCAAACACCTTTCCTTTCGAAATGAAGCCTTTAACGACTTGAGGTCTCGTGGCCATCATACTCGCTATGTAGATAGGTACTTTCTTGTGTATGTTAGGAATTTGTAAGCTGGTCTAGGCGAATACGAGTGATTGTAGCCCGTTTATGAAATTTCAGTCGTTAGATGCTAAGAGCGTTAGTCAGCCGCTTATTTCTATTACCTCAAGTTGCGCCTGATCAGTATCAACTAGGAGCCATATTGGCACATGAGCTAGTCAAGAAAGCGCGGGTTTTCCTAGTTCAATAGCAAGATATTATTTCCTTTGATGGGGTGTAAAATTTGCCCTTACATCACGACTTCACCCAGATAATAGAACAGCCATATTTTACCGGTCCGCGGAGCCAACTACAGCAAATGTCAGACGACTCTCTCTGTAGTTCACGGTGATTCAATATCAGATCATACACCTTTTAAATTTTTTTAAATATTTAGCTACTCTCCTATTAAATAACTCTAACACATTTATAAATGTGAGCACAAAAGAGTAGGTATATGTGAAACACAGTTGCTTTGAAAAAGCACACGAACTCCTTTCTTGAAGCTGGATGTGCGAAATCTCAGGTTAATATTAGAGCTATTAACAATATGAAACCAGCCGCTACAATATATTCTGGTGCCTTTTGCAAAAGACGCACTATCCACTGGTTCTAACCTGAGTAAGCAGTACTACATGTATGTACGTGCATATATTGACACTGTTGATTATAAATACACCTATACATATAAAATCCCATGGGCAGTGGAGCATGTATGAAAATACGGGAAAAACGACAGAAATAGCCATGCGGTTGGTAGTGCGTCTTTTTTGTTTGAGTGGTGCTCAAGTTATGAATCTATCGTTCCCCTAGCACAAATCCTCATTTACGAGCAAGCTACAGATTAACTATTAGCTTTTTAAAGCAGCCGTCCTTCCCCGCGCACTGTAGCAAACAGTCTCCCTGTTATGCCCCTTACGAACGCGCTATTGCTACGACTTGCCCACTTCAGCCCATTGTGGTGCAAATTTAGTACACAAAAAGAATTTGGTGTTATAACCCAGTGGAAAATAAACGGCTGGAATATGGACGGGCCCGGCTTGATTGGACCGTCCGTCTTTAGGACCTGACAAACGGAGGGGACCATCGAACAACTTATGACTAGGCAAGTTACTCACTGTGTCGAGTAGCTGGGGATACCGTACTGGGCCACCGTCAAACTCTCCCACTGTCGACCGTCGCTAAACGTAGCGTTGACACTATGCTCACGTCGCGATTTTAAGTTCACACAAGGCCGCACATAATGCGGCTTCATATCGACGTACACATTGGTGCTAGTTGAGCACAATTTCGTCCACGGGCCGTTCGTTAGAGAAAGACGCCTCTTCTGCAAAGGATTATATTGGAATAACTGGCATGTATTCAAGAATTTACTGCGGTGTAGTGTTAAATTGGCAGCCTGCCACACAGACGTGGTGGATATAACGACTGGCAAATACCCACTAAAGATCGACGTCAAATGCACACCGCAGTGTAGGATTATCTGTTAGCGCGTGTATTCGTTATTGTGTACATTGGCTTGCAGAATCGTCAAGTGTTCCATCTAGCGTCATCATATAAATTTCACGTACGGTATTGCCGTGAAACATTTTATCGTACAGCCGGCACCCAGAACGAAACGAAGTGTGCCCACACTCGGATTCAAACCCAGAACGTTAACGAAGCGAACACGCTATCATCTACGCTATCACCTGAACAGATAGGTGTTTGTTACATCGAAGCAGCGTGCGTGGACTGCGTTTCTCTCAGGAGCCTTCAGATGCTCTGATAAGCACCTTGAAAGCAATATAAGTTTATAATAACATAATGCGCTATTATGTAGTGCGCTATTGTGTAGCGTTTTTTCGTCTGCCACAGAACAAATCGCACTGCGACATATAAATGACAACAGGCATCTGACCAGACTAACACGTCTCAACTGTAACTCTGAATAAGAGATCAAAGGAGGCTTCCCACTGAGCAAACAGGATGTTTCCTAGTGGGCAACTTGATAAAAATTGAGTTGTTTGTGCTCGTTTTCGTTGTGGCGATGAAAGCCTCGGTAAGCTATGTCGTGACATATCGACCCCAAGGACTTACTATGAAATTTTAGCACAATATACATAAGCTTATGTTATAAGCTTCTCTCTTAGCTATTACTATCCCTGTTCAGCTAATAGATATTCATGCAATCCGCCCAGAATCCTACAGCCTAAGGTGCACGATGTATGTGCGATGCACAAAGCAGGCAAGTGAATCAAAGAAGGGAGTCTTTTTAAGACAAATTGGTCATTGACCATGCCCGATTCAACGCGGGTTGCTTAGTGGAACGTCCATTTACGACGTTCGCGCGTCCTTGTGTATCATTCCTACGAACTGATATGTTCTAGACTTCAAGCTAGCGCCGGCTTCCTATAAGATTCGGCTTCAGCACTCACGAAAATTACAAAATTTAAACATATTATCATGGCTAGCTCTATTTTGAACCATCAGCAAAAACGATAATCGATGAGAAGAACATCTAGCTAGTATTTCTCAGATAAAATATGCAGCCAAGGCCTAATCCACCAACTTGTTTGTGAGCTTTCATAGAGTATGGATCGGGCATTGGCATTTCATCTTTCAATTATTCACACAGATGTGTATGAAGAAGGTCGATGTTTCGAAAGACAGAGGGTACGCCAGTGTAACCCATTGATGCGAATCAGAAGCATCTGAAGAGCAATCTGCGAGCATTTCGAAGAATCCGCACAGCGAACACAGATATATAGACGATAGTTCTTTATCGTCATGTCCCGCCAACGAAACAAAACCGGCCTGTAACTATACAAGTGGATGGCGGGTGCTTCTGTAATATAAACGTGATCTCTCTCTGCCTGATTTAGTCGCAGGTATCTTGCTTAAACTGAATAATGCAAGGACATCGTATTGAGCAGCAAAGAGGAACACAACTGAAACAGGTACATGTCTGTTGAATCCGTACATGAACGGAAATCCTGCTGAAGCTCGATTTCGAAGTGAGCTATTCTATCGAGGATTGGCGAAAACATATTCCGGAGCCATTCCCGTAAATAGGCTCAATGCCAGGCCGAGGGAATCGTATCATAAATGTGTCGATTGTGAATTTGGAATATCATTTCCGGATCGTTTTCCGATATCGGCTGCGCTGGTCGATTAGGAAAAGTGAGGTTCTCACAGGTCGTCTTAAGAAGAAATAGCACTATTGTTTCATTTATGGGCCTTCTGTGGTATCTTTTACGCCTTGCTACGTCCTTTAATAAACCAATCGTTGAGCGGTCATAAACGATCCTTTTCAATTAACTATAGCTTCCCTAATAGTTGATCCGTTGACCGATAATCCAGCTCGTCTAAGTAGATGTCATAAGGACTAGCTAGAAACTAAATATATCGATATATCGACTATCATCGAAATATCCTTTATGATTCACGGATTTCGTTGTTTCGCCTGAACAAAACGAACCTACCCAGCAGGTTTATTAAAGTATACATACTCTGCTGCATAAAGTCATGCCTAAGCGTTTTTCTCTACTCTCGGTGTTTAAAAGTTTATATGTCAGTTGAAAAATTAGAATTTCAGTGATCTCGTAGATGTTTTAAATTTGCACATAATTTAAGCAGATCGATCGGGAGGTATTGCTGTTTGGCTTTTTGTTACTAATTGACCTTCAAATGTCGTTTGGCATCCTAGGCCCGCACTAGGACGTCGAGGTTAGTCTTTTTGGGTTGCTGCCTTTTGTCGGCCATTTACCAAGAAGGCCATCAGGCTCCCAATTTTTGGGACAGCTTGCGCCATATAAAAATCGTTAAAAAAATAGTGCTATCAATGGTCCGTGAAGCTATAAAGGCACCTAAATAAAATATACAGTTTAAGGTTTAGTTTAAAAAAAATTAGCTAGAGAAAGAGAAAAAAGTGAAAGTGCCAACTTTTTCTTAAATTAACAACTTAAGTGGAAAAATCGGATCTCTTTGTATTTGCTAAGTAGATAAGTAGTCCATTTTGCCGATGCGAGTTCATAATAGCGCTCGAAGTCGTTGCCGAATCGTAGACTTGATCAGAAACGATATGTGATGCCTCTCGATTAATGTTATGCCTTTTACGTGTTACTAATTCAGTACTAAGCTATTTTTAGATACAAGCACGATAACTTGGTACACGGACATAAGGTGTATACCTAGGTACATAACTTCTTTGCTGGCCTGGTCAGTGTCACAATTGGCCATAATAATAGACCATGTGCGATAAGCTGCTTGACTCTAAGTTGCGTTAAAGTGATCACTTTATTTAGCACACACATATTAAGTTATAAAATGTTCATCACTAGACTATTCTATACACGGAAAAATATAACTTGACACGTATATAAAAAAAGGTTTGAAGTCTTGCTATAACATGTTATAAATACTCTCTATTAACAGGATAATTTACCTGAAGATAAACCGAGGATACAAACCATTCTCAAATAAAAATTTCTCTAGGGAGACGAACATCTTGGGGCGTTTCTATCAAGGTCATTTCGTCCCAGTTTAGGACCCAATACAATTTACAATGAGTGGACAAATCCCGGCCTAAATCATTTGTAGTTAGAGAAGTTTGCATAGTAATTTTCTATCTTTTATAATCTGTATCTAATTTCCGGTCAAAATAGTTTTTCTCGTCTTCCTATGTATGCATAGCATTAGTCATCACGCTGACCCCATATCCGTTTTGCTGGATTCGTACGTCATTAACTTAACGGCTTCGGCACGCACATCGTTCATCCTAACAGGTCATCTGGATCATTTTGCTAGCGACCCTCGACTAAGGTGGGATTGACTAGCTTGTTATATCAATCTTCTATTGGAAGTGTATAAACAACCAGTCGAGACGTAACGGGAATGCCGCTAGTACGCGACTTGGTACTTATATCTATAACGTAACGGAATAAACTTCCGCAAACATCATCACACCAAACATATGATTACGATGACTGTTTTTATAGCGTATAAGATGTAATCATTCGACCTGAAGCACTTTAGAGGAGGCGTCTGTCGCTCTTTTCTACGCAGTCTGCGTCGGGCTTTTCGCTTTCGCAACGTTAAAGAACATGAGCTACTTTACCTCGCCTTCATGCTGCCTTCTCAACAACCCCTTGCGCTTCATCGACACTTCAGTGATGTTCAAGCAATGTTACGAGAAAAAAACACTGTGTCATGCTATAGGCCATTGAGTTTTATTATACTGCTGTTTAGGGGTCACAGTAGTAGGGCCTACGTAATTACAGCATGTGCCGTTCGTTTAGGTCTGGCTAGACGCGTAAAACGTCACATGATCAGACGAAGGAATGGCTTGTGACGACATAACATTTCAGATGTTGCTCTCAGTCCTGTCGCGATCATTGGTGAGTCTTTGCGAGTCCCTCGAGTACACTGATAGCGGCGTGTGACGCGGATATGCGAAGTCTCTAAAGAAAATAGGACATAAGCAGTTAATGTTAATTCAGTTTTAATAGGATGTTGCCGTTTCAGGTCGATACTAAACAGTGGTCACGTTTCGTTTAGTCTCGTTACGGTTTGTAAAACACAGATAAATCAAACAAGAAAGTGACTTCGAAGATCTAGCGTTTACGGTAATCGCCTAACTGTTTAGTGAATTGGTACATATATCGTACGTATTAGATGATATAGATAGTGTACAGACTATGCGGCTGTATCTTGGTTAGATTGACTCAAAATACATACCTACATGGGTAGAATTTGTGCGATCGTGCTTGGAGTAAAAGATCAATGTTTTTTTCTCTACGTCATTGTTTGATTTTTTGCTATTTGTTTGTACCTGAAGGTACTGATGTACTAAACGTGTACTGCGTTATACATTATAATTCTGCCTCGAGAAGATCGAATGAAACGGACATATGAAAATGTTTGCAACGACTCCTAACAAACGAATTGTTAAGGGATAGCAGCTTAAATATTGTATTCGTTAACATATTGCCACATTCTGCGCGTTCATAAACGCTGGCAAAGTGTGTATATATAGATTTTTGTGTGTTCTAAATAAATGCGACGCGTATGTTGAGTTAATTTATTCGGTACGTTCATATCTTCATCAGCTATCTCAATATATGAATTGAACAATTTAACTGCTACGAATACGTTCAAGATAAGAAAAGCTGATAATGTAAGTGAAGAGTAATGATTGTTTTCGGCGTAAATGATTATGTGATCTTCGCTTGGTTTCCTTCTCTGTTAAGAGGATATTCGCCAAGCTGAGCTAGAAGATGGAGGATCCGCCTCAAGCTCTGTCAAATGGTTCAGTGAAGCGGCGACATGAATCCCCCATTGCCGTGTGCCTCCGACTCTGCTCCGTTCAGTCTTCTGAACCGGCCAATTTCTCTACCACTTTTCTACCCCATGGCCGCTGCAGTGCAACTGTGTTTCACTGTTGTAGTCGTGTCACTGCCAGCGGGCAAACGAACGTAATGGCGTGGAAACGGGCGCGACGTACACAGCCAATGGTGAACGGACAAAAGGGGTGGGTGGCGGAAGAAGGCGAGTTCGAGGAACGACGACGGCCCAACCGCCGAAAGAACGCAACTAATTATTCGACCTAACCCCGCTTACCCCTCGCTCGACCGCTTCTTGGGCAATAGTACTTGTCAATTCTCGGGAGCGTGGCCACCACGACAGACATCAATGGCGTTGCGTTTATGTTCGTCGCGAGAAAACGTACTCTGAGATGTACGCCACTCTTCCCTGTGAAGTTTCGCTTTGGAATGTTTCCCCGGAGCAGGAAGTGATGGAATACTTTGTATGGTAGCCAGCTGAAATGGCTGATGCGCAAGCCGCTCGGTCAAACTCTGCGAACAAATCTCAGTGTAGCCATGAATCAAGGTAGTGCGTAAACGAATGCAAGATAGAAAATAGGGACACGAAAGCCTAAAATTACATTCGCAAACATCTATGCAGAAAGCTCGAGCTAAGAGGGGTTAGAAATACGTACAGATATATGTTCAACGTCTTTGTGTTTTGTGCCTAAAAAAGCGTTATTTTTCCATAAAGTGAGACAATAAGGACGTGATACCCTTTGTGCTCCGTCTGCAGACTTTCTCTTGCTGAATAGACAAAGGAAATTCAAATCTTTTTTTGTCAATCTTGTCGTAGAGTTCTCTCTACAAATTTTTCAGAAAACAAACAAACAGTCAATTCGTTTTGAGTTACGAAAAAGTTCGCTGCTTTACTGGCTCATTTGGTATCAATTGTTATATATAGATAAGATAGACAATATCAAAATTTAGTCACTGCAAATGACAACTCTCACCACAAGTTAGCATTACCTTTCATCTATCTACTAAATTAACGTATACGTAATGCCGGTAAGCGAAGCAGATATTAAGAGCTGTGTCAGCAATATTTTGCGTCTGAAATGAAGTAGTCTTCGAAAACACAGCCTTCACCATATCCATCGCTAAAATCTGAAATTATTCTGGTCATTGTGAGGAACATCTATGCCGTAAAAAGAAATGATCGATGTTCGCGCCGACTCATAGAAGCACATGTAATCTTCAAGCACTACTGACTGCTCGGTACGCGGGTTTTCTATTACGATTTCTATTTTTTATTTATACATACTGTATTCATTATACATTTTTGTAGAAGTCTTCTGATTAGGAGCTTAGGCTATTTACTTAAATGGCTATAGTTGTCTAACATTTAAGTTTTCGGACTCGTCTAGCGTTCTATTATCCTTCAATGTAAGAAGCTTATATTGGTGCATATTTTGAATAGCCTTCGTAATAACTGTTCCCTCCGTTATCATCATCAAAGTGAAGTCCATCATGTTTTTTGATTATCATGTATATTTCACTAATGCAAACGTAGAGCTACTTTTTCACTGCATTTACCAGGCAACCTGTCAGGTAAAGAGAGGAGAGCAAGGTAAGGCGCTTACCAAGCTCATGTAATGTAAGTTCTTATGCCTACTAGTTGTAACAATAGTTTCGTTATAAAGGCTTCTCGCGTTACCACCGTTCGAAGTCTGGCTGTGACTGGCTTGGTGGCGGCGACTAGGTTTACCGTTGTAGTCATCGTCGACGGGATCATTGTCGTTGCAGCCAGTAAGTGAAAGCCGCCCGCAAGCAATGCGCGCGTTCCGTGATGGTTTGGGTTGGCTAGAAAGACGGACCGTCAAGCTCAGTCTATCAAGCTGATCCTAACAGGGCTACCCCGAACGAATCCCCAAATTCTCCCACGGCGAACCTTCCCAACCCCGGCTGTGGGGCCTTTTCCGTCGTCGACCAGAGCTTTGAATTCGCTTCCACTACTCCTTCAGGTTATGTAATTTCGATCACAGCGTAGCTGGTGCCCGGTTGGCCATCCTATCTGCAACGAATCGTCTAGCGCACTGCCGACGGAGACATCTAATATCGTAGCAAATACTCAGTTTGCGCCGCCGCTGTTCCACTCTGCTTTGCACTGATACCGTCCGCGTTGCTATCGTCATCATTGACAATCCACCGAGCACAAGTAGCTCACAGAAGCCGTTGGTGTTGTGTGCGTTTGTGGGGCTAAGATGGCAGTTGTTGGCGGAACGAGATTGCATCATATACACGAAAGACGGGGCAAGAGGCAAGCAGCGTCAAGAAGACCAATAGCGAGCCACTATGCCACAAGCTCTGCACCATGTACTGATGCATACTAAAGTATCCGTACAGCTGCTTTAAGCAGTGAAAGCCTCAAATGTATATATGGCGACAGATAGAGCACTTGGTACAAATAAAAACGATAAAAAAAATACAGATGCATATATCGTCGATGAAATAGAAAATTAAAGACAGTTCCAGGTGCAACTATTCATACCTTTTTAAAGTAGATGAGAGATGAGATAATACGCTGTTTTCTGTAGCGACGCTTAGACCAATATGAGGCTTCACCTAATAAGCGTTTTCCCTACATACTTCAAACGGGGTGTACAATGTTCACAACATGGATGTTCGCACAAGTTTTGAGGTTAGGTACTTTTTTTTTTTTACAAAACTCTTTGTTGTAGTCAAAGGCATAGCTGAATGATTTTCCGCAAAGTTGTTTGGTTTTAGCCTATGCGAATTATCTCGGACCTGGACTTAGAAACAGCCGTTGTAATTTGGTTTACTGAGGACGCTCATCTTTGATCAAGTAAAGGCAAAATTTGAACGTTTAATGCCCCGGCAAACAGCGAGCCTTACACTAGCTCTACTCGATGCTAGCATTCATTTCACTGTCAATTAAGCTTTACTACGGAAATGAACCAATGGAGGCGCTGCCTATAACTTACTGGCATATAACTTAGTCAATTTATCGCTTGTTTACACGCACCTACTTTTATTCCAACAGGCAGGCCTGTCCTTCAACAAGCTCCTAATTATGTAACTCTTACTCCTTTTCCAATTTATTCCTTTTATTCCTCATTGGTTGTCAGCCTTCTAAGCCTTATGATTTGGTCCTGGTGCAAGCTATAGATACTTATGTTCACACTCTTTTAATGCGGCCATTGGAAGATGCGCGCATATCAGTGGACGTTGATCTGAACAAGATCTTGAACTGTTTTCCCATGTAACCAGCCTACGTGCAAAAGTTCAAGTTTCCATGCTTAACAAAAATGCCATGCTACTGTACAAAAAGGTCTCCTGGAACAGAGT